AACGTGCCCCGTGTCTGCCGTTTGCATCTCAGTTTCTTGATGAGGTGGTTGATGTCTTGGAGCACTCTAATGCGCTGGGCAGGTCACAACACAGCCTTCTGATATGCTGTGCTGTTAGAATTGTTAGAGGTCAAAGTGATAGAAATTTAAATGAGAGTATTGAGATTGATAAGGATCTGAGGTAATTAGGAAAATGTAATGGCTTATATTGAGAGGCAAATCTTCAGAATGGAAAGATACCTCAGAGACTAGACTTGAGAAAGATCGCGTTTAACATCATCAGTCATTTTGCTATATAACGAAGTATATCACTATGAAATCATGTGTGGAAAATCTTGGAGACTGTGTTACTCTCGCTGTGGCCTTGATGGTCTTACAGGAAGAATTAAATGATGCTGTGGACACAATAATGGTGAAATTTATTACACTGTGTGCCAAGTCATGTAGGTACAGCACTGTTCTTGGCATGGTACTGGGGTGGGACAGAAGGAGTGGTGATTTTACCAGAGAGAAGAAAGGTAGTTGGTGGATTATAGGACAGACTGTAACCTGCCAATGTGCAGAGAACTAACATGATTCCTAAATCGCTTGGGAAAATATTTTCAGTAGGCACAGGGAAACAATTTTGTCGTATTTGCATGTATGATCTTAAATTACAATAGGTGCTTCAAGTTGTCTGTTGTCTCTTGGTTGTTCTGCTGGTGGTGCGTGATGCAAGAGTAAGTGGTATTAAGTATCATCTGAAGCAAAAGAGCTTCTGACTGGATTGAAGGAGGAAGTTCTTCACCGTGAAGACAGTCAAGTGGTAGAACAGGTTGCCCAAGGGGTTGTACAGTCTCCATCCATGGGGATTTTCAAGATCTTGAGTGAGCAAATCACTGAGTAACCTCCTGGCACCTGAACCTGCTCTGAGCAGGTCCCTTCTTACCCCAATGATCCTGCTATTCTGAGCCTTTAAAGGTGGTTTGGGGAAATGAGGGAAGGAAACTAAACATTGTAGCTTCATTAACTAACCTGAAGGAAAGTTGAAAGAAGCTATGGTTTTAATTCCTATGAATACCTTAGAGGGAGGGAAAAATGTATAAATATCAAAGATGCAAAATAATTAATACCAAAACAAGGTCAAGATCAAAGGACTAGAAGTTCATCATGAATACAATGGGAGGGAAAACCAGAAACTTTCTTCTCAGAGGAATGAAGTTGTGGAAGGAGCCTCCAGATAAAACTTCAAGGGCAGGGGAGAGTATGTAATGGTTGGGGATGGACCTGTACAAGGTTCTAGAAGGAATTACTTGACAAACCAGAAATTAGCTGTATGTTAGAAATGTAATCTGTTAGAATTCAGTCCAGTGTTCTCAAGGATTGGGAAGATCTCTGGAGTTGTTCCCCCTCCCCAATTATATACACGTTTTATGTTCAGTTTGTTCTCTCTCTGTAGCATCAGAAGTTAGCCACAACCAGAGACAGGTATGCTCATGGCATTAACATTCCTCATCTTTCACGTGGTGGTACATGATAGTTTATGGGTTTTGGTCTTTTGCTGTGGGTCTTATGTTTAATATAAGATATGAAGATGGTGTTTTGTGGGTTTGTTAAAAAAATTCTCTTATGTGCTTGGCTTTGCAGACCACCGCAGTTGGTGCTGTTGGCCTTGTTCAGGCTTATTTTTCTATTGGAGAAGAATATATTAAAATTGTATGAGAAGTGTGTATTAAAATTTGTACTTAAGTGGGTGCTAATAATGAAGACTTCTACAGTCCAAGTAAAGAAGTTTTTTCCATTCAAGTGAGAAAAACCTGAATATGTGACATCAGATGTTGCTTCTTGCTGCTTCTCCAAAGATTACTACAAAGATTGGATAGCAAAGATCAGTTAGTTTTAAAAACAAACAAAACTGTGGAGTTTTCTTGATGGTAAACAGGGATTCAGGCTGAAAAGGATAGAAAGTGTCACTTAAGTAAAGAAAGGCATGTTATAGATTCATTCTTAGGCAGTCAAATACGGTGATTACGGATGGAGAAAACTACAGGAGATGAGGGTTTGGCACCGGTATGTAAGTGATAAACAGCACGTGGTGATACACTTGACTGGGAAGCTGAGGCACTGCAGGTAGATAAGTTGTCCATCCCTTTTCCGCCCTTTCACACTGAAGAGCACGCAGTATGTTTCACCCATGGGTATTTTGCATACTTCAGTGTCAAGCTCAAGTCCCTGATCTGAGTGATTGTTACCTCTTGATGAAGTAAAAAAGATTTGCAAAGCACTGAACTAGGTATTTTAAAAAATTAATTAAAAAAAATATAGAAAAGATTGTTCCTATTACTGCTTAATTTTCCATTCATTATTGATGGGTGTTAGGTGAGACATTGGGCTGAGCTGTTTGGAAATGCGTTGAGTGTCTAAAACACTGTAAAAGAGTCATCTTCACAAGGGATAAATGAGAATTTTTCCAATTAGGTCAAACTTATGAAAGTGGAAGATGAGTAAGGGCTTTCACTAAAAGAAGTGGAAAAGGTGAGAACTGACCTAAACTGTCACAGCCTTTGTCATGTCTGATCACGACTGTGAGGTGTCACCTGTGAAGAGAGCTTGTGCTTGTGTCTCCTGTGTGTGGCCTTGGCTGTGTGTGGTAACATTGAATTAGAGGTTACCAGAGCCTACTGCGTCCCAGCAGGCTACATTCTCCTGCTTCAGTAATTGTACCGGCATGGTTTAATTTCTGTAACCCCGAGTCCCACTTTCCATCTTTTATATTGAAGGGAAGAGAGCTTGTGCTTGTGTCTCCTGTGTGTGGCCTTGGCTGTGTGTGGTAACATTGAATTAGAGGTTACCAGAGCCTACTGCGTCCCAGCAGGCTACATTCTCCTGCTTCAGTAATTGTACCGGCATGGTTTAATTTCTGTAACCCCGAGTCCCACTTTCCATCTTTTATATTGAAGGCACACAGTGTACTGACTTTAAAGAAAAAATATCATAATATGTACTTGAAGCTCTGAGCTATTGAGAGGGAAAGGTAAGATGGCAGGAGTACCAGCAGGCTGTTTCTATGACAATGTTAGTTTTAAGTGCAAGCATAAAAAAGAATAAAGATTTTACTTTAAGACTATAGATGTGAGTGTGAACCACGCAACTGCCCCTGTGCCAGAAGTGAAAGGGAGAGCTGATGATACAGCTACCCACCTTGGAAAATGGAGAGCGAGGAGGCTTTTCTTTTTCCTGTCCCCTGCTTTGTCCTCTTTCCTCCCCTTTCCTGTATGCTGTTGCCTTTATTGAACCGTTTGCTTCCACCAGTAAGGTTCCTCAGTGTGAGGCCACTGGTGGGACTGGGCGTTTCTGTGGGAAGATGTGATGTGTGCCCCATTACGGGGAAGCTGTGTGGTGGATTGGCCCTGGCCTGCTGCCCACCCCGCTGCTCCCTCAGCACTCCTCAGCAGGGCACGGCAGGAGAGGGGGGAAAACTCTGTGGGTCAAGACAGGGAGATCACTGGCCAGTTATTGCAAGGGGCAAAATGACCTTGACTTGGGGAAAATTAATTTAATTTCTTGCCAAATGAAATAACATTGGGTGGTAAGAAAACAAAGACAAAAACTAAAACACCTCCCCAATTCCCAGGTTCAGCTTCCCTCCTTCATTTCCCGTTCTTCTGCCTCCTGCTCCACCTTGGTCTCCTCAGGATGGCACCCTGAAGAGCTGCTCTTCCTTCCCCCCTCCTCCTGCCCTACTTGTTCCAAGGGCTGTTCCTCACACTTTTCTTGCTGCCCTGTGTTGTTTTCCCCTTTCTTGGACGTGCTTTCATGGAGGTACCACCACCTTTGCTGGCTGGCTCAGCTGTGGCCTCCGTGGGGCCTCTGTGGAGCCAACCCTGCCCAGCATGGGGTGTCCCCAACCTCTTCTCACAGAGGCCGCCCCAGCAGCTCCCCCACTGCCAGCATGGGACACGGCCACCCAAAACGAGTGTGAAGCCTTTCAGTGGGCTTTGGGTATTTCTGGAGGAGGTTTTTTACTCAGAAGGTGACACATTTATTGTGTGGCGCTGACAGGTCAGCCTGGCGCAGGACCTTTGTGTTACTCTGGAGTTCTCCACAGTTCTCTCAGTTCTCAGGTACCCTAGCACAAGAGAGACAAATATTTGCATATGAATAAATGCAGTTCTTACCTTATGGTGCTATATGTAAGGCTTTTTGTAGCTGAAATCTTCAAAGGGATATCCTGTTTCCATTGAATTTCTGTGAGATTTGGGCCTTTAACACCCTCAGGCTTCTTTTCATGGTCTAGTTAAGTTACTGTGAAGCTGAACCATTACTTAGACATGGTGACAAAGTAGTAGAAAATACTTTTCAACTCTTTTGGCTTAAGTTCTTAACTGCTAAACTTCCAATTTTAAAATAAGACATCTTCTAAGTTGACAGAAAAAAACCAAACCACGTTATAAGTAGTTGTGTAGGCGGTAAACGAAGATGTCGTGCAGTCTGTAAGCTTGAGTGGAAGGAACACATAAGCCTTCTGCTCTCCTTGTTACTGTCTCCTGAGCTGGTACTAGAGGACATCTGTGTTCTACTGCAAGTGAATGGGAAGCTCTTACAGAATATGGTTCGAACTCTATTTTTTCGGATGTACCAGGCAGAGACACTATCTTGATTTTTTGCCACTCTTGTGCCGTCTACTCCTGCAGGGTGGCAGCAACGCAGAGGTTATCTGCATGTCTCCTCACGTTTTTGAGGACTTCAAACACTCTCTTTTGTAGTTGACACTTGCTTGTTTCTAAAACTACTTTTGCTTTTAAATCATTAGTTTTGTTGTTGATTTTATTTGCTCTTACACCAGCTGTGTTTAGTATTGTGCTGTCAAATGTTGGGATTTTTTAAAAGCTAGACAGCAGCCTAATTTTTTTTTTTTGAACTAGATTGATAAATCTTGACTTGGACTTCAAAGCTTTGGTGTCATCTTCAGAATACGTGTATTTTTTTGTTTTTCTTACTATTCTATCTTGTATTTGCAGGCCTTCCCAGATTCACCAGTCAGCCAGAATCTTCATCTGTCTATAAAGGAAACAGTGCAATCCTTAACTGTGAAGTCAACGTTGACCTTGCACCGTTTGTGAGGTGGGAGCAGGATCGCCAGCCCGTCTTCCTGGATGACCGGGTATTTAAATTGCCAACTGGAGCTCTAATTATTAGCAATGCTACTGACACGGATGGAGGACTCTATCGCTGCATCATTGAAAGTGGTGGGACCCCCAAATACAGTGATGAAGCAGAGCTCAAGATTCTTCCAGGTATTAGCCTGTTTTGTCTTTTTCAAAAAGTTAATAAATAAAAAATTAGTCGAGCAATAGCTGGGGGAACCTAACAAGAATACTCACATGAGGAACGCATGAGAATCTGCTCTATTTCGTCTTTGTATATTTCAAATGGAACTAAGTGTGATGTGTTGTCTAGAATCTGGTGGTTCAGGCCCTTGAGCTAAAGGATTTTGGCCCTTGGGAAGACAAACTGGTATCTTGCAGTTGGGAAACAGAAAAGAAAAATGAGTTATCAGTGTCTGAGCTCTGCAGTGATTGGAGGTGGGCTGGAGACATGCACGTGCTTTTTTTGCCATATGTAATCATTTGGCTTTTAAGGGCTTTTTGGGAAAGACTTCTTTTTAAAAGTCACTACTAATACACTTACGCCATGATGAGTTACAAAGAGGGAATTGACTGTTTCTTTGACTATAAATGTTTGGGGACTTTTAAGTTTCACAGGCTTGAATCCCATGTTTAAAATCCTGTTGAAGTTTCCAAAATAAATCGGTGCTTAGTTCCTCACTCTTAAGATGTTTAAGCTCAGGCACTTTTAATTGTCCCAATATTTAGGAAGTTCTGATGTCTTTTGGCAAGTCTCCAGACCCCCAAAAGGTGGCATGGCTCTTTATTTTGAAGGTTTTAGCTGTGCCTATTATGCAGAAGTGTGTAGATATTTTTTTATAAGAACAAAAGTCCATCCTTATTTCTTCATAGTGTGTTCTGTTTTGAATGACAGTACTGCACAGAGCTGTGTCACCAGATGCTCTAATACGGAGTTTTGAAAATTGACCAAAAATAAGGCAGGGTCATGAATCCCACTTTCCCAAACTAGGGAAGCATGGGCTGTGTTTTGTATGGGCTCTCTTAATTATTTCCAGAACTTTATGCTGTCTCCTCTGAATTAGTCTTCGTGTTAGAATTCCAATTCAATTTTTACTGCTGGGAGAGGTGCCAGAGGCTGATGCATGTCCATCTTGGGAGGTTTTTGGGGCTACACTGGGCAATGGCATGGTTGGCCTGACCTCATGGACTTCATGCAGGTGGTTGCACTAGGCAGAGGTCCTTGGCCATGAATGCTTCTGTTCCTCGTGACTACGTCACTTTTCTGTTTAAAATATCCCAGTTTTACAATTGCAACCTTCCCTCTTTTAAAATGGAGGCGTTTGCTTGGCTTTGGAAACTAATCATGCTTCAAGCAGGAAGTTGTTTCATTGAGTTTGTGAACCTTTCTTTTCAGAAATACTCATCTTTTCTTCAACTAAGGCTATAGTTTTGGAAGAAGAGCGCTTCTGGAAAAGGCGCTTAATTGAACTATTTTAGTTTGTTTTGCCTTCATGTTTCCACAACCCCTCAAATGAAATCTTAAGACTTTTTCTGACTTTTGGCAATTTAAGATTTCCCAATAAACTCCCATATTGTGTTGATCTTTCTAATTCTTTGGCTCCAGATGTGGTTTACTTGCTGTTGTAATGTTTTGCTGCAGGTGATTAAATATAACACTATTAGGGAATACAAATAATGCTGTTTCCTTGCTTGATCAGGAGTCTGAAAGCGGGATTAAACTGTTGCACAGAAAGCTCTCTTAATCTTGAGTGGCCCCATAATTGATTGTTTGGTCTGAGACGTATTTGAAAGGAGGATTTGAATTAATCTGTTCTTAATTTGTTTTGCTGCATTTTAAAATTGCATTCTGATGCGTGCCTGACAGCGACCCCAACTGCTTTGCTTCTAAATCTTTGAGATACCCCCAACACACATTGGTATTGCACAGATTTGCATCCACAGACTGTCCTACTTTTTCTGATGGTGGGCTTCCTTAGAGCAGTCAGGCTGCCTTTCCTCTGCCACCGAGCAGGAAGATGCCTTTCCGAGCTCTGCTTTCAAATACAGGAATGCAAGGGGGAAAAAATAAAATCACATAATTGAGTGCAGTTTCCACTGACCTGAGAACTGATCTCCTTTTTGGGAGCTTGGAGCACTAATGAGTTGTGTCCCCAGTGAGTTGTGCTGACTCCTCTCCCCAGTGCAGTGATTGCTGGCAATCTGTTATAGCTGTTTTCTGCAGTTTGGCTGGCTCCACGTGCCCCTCCAGGTCACTCTCACTGCGTTACCCGCCTCTTCACCCGCCGTCTGATTTCTGGAGCAGGCAGACTCCTTCCCTCTAACGGGGAACGTGGGCAGAGCCGCTGTGATGGAGACAGATGGTGTGCTCTAGGATCGCTCTGAGTTTGGCTCCCTCTGCCTGGGACAATTCTGAAACGTGATTTCTCACGAATACCCTGACAACCTCATCATGTTATACCTTGGAGCACGTGCATGCCCTTAGCGTAGCGCTGTAAGTGCTTGGTGGTTATTTTTAGCGCTTTGAGCTGAAGAAACCAAACCCAACAATTTTTAGAAGCTGCTGTGAGCGTTGTGTAGGTCCCAGGTGTGAGACAGGGGGTGAACACTGTGTGTGAGAGGCACAGAGTGGGCTTCACTGGGCAAAAGTAGCGTAGGTACAGAATAGCCTGACACCATCTAGGGGGGCCAAAACCAGCTTGTCCCATTAAGAGGTTACCAGAGCCTACTGCGTCCCAGCAGGCTACATTCTCCTGCTTCAGTAATTGTACCGGCATGGTTTAATTTCTGTAACCCCGAGTCCCACTTTCCATCTTTTATATTGAAGGCACACAGTGTACTGACTTTAAAGAAAAAAAAAAAATCATAATATGTACTTGAAGCTCTGAGCTATTGAGAGGGAAAGGTAAGATGGCAGGAGTACCGGCAGGCTGTTTCTATGACAATGTTAGTTTTAAGTGCAAGCATAAAAAAGAATAAAGATTTTACTTTAAGACTATAGATGTGAGTGTGAACCACGCAACTGCCCCTGTGCCAGAAGTGAAAGGGAGAGCTGATGATACAGCTACCCACCCTGGAAAATGGAGAGCGAGGAGGCTTTTCTTTTTCCTGTCCCCTGCTTTGTCCTCTTTCCTCCCCTTTCCTGTATGCTGTTGCCTTTATTGAACCGTTTGCTTCCACCAGTAAGGTTCCTCAGTGTGAGGCCACTGGTGGGACTGGGCGTTTCTGTGGGAAGATGTGATGTGTGCCCCATTACGGGGAAGCTGTGTGGTGGATTGGCCCTGGCCTGCTGCCCACCCCGCTGCTCCCTCAGCACTCCTCAGCAGGGCACGGCAGGAGAGGGGGGAAAACTCTGTGGGTCAAGACAGGGAGATCACTGGCCAGTTATTGCAAGGGGCAAAATGACCTTGACTTGGGGAAAATTAATTTAATTTCTTGCCAAATGAAATAACATTGGGTGGTAAGAAAACAAAGACAAAAACTAAAACACCTCCCCATTTCCCAGGCTCAGCTTCCTTCCTTCATTCCCCGTTCTTCTGCCTCCTGCTCCACCTTGGTCTCCTCAGGATGGCACCCTGAAGAGCTGCTCTTCCTTCCCCCCTCCTCCTGCCCTACTTGTTCCAAGGGCTGTTCCTCACACTTTTCTTGCTGCCCTGTGTTGTTTTCCCCTTTCTTGGACGTGCTTTCATGGAGGTACCACCACCTTTGCTGGCTGGCTCAGCTGTGGCCTCCGTGGGGCCTCTGTGGAGCCAACCCTGCCCAGCATGGGGTGTCCCCAACCTCTTCTCACAGAGGCCGCCCCAGCAGCTCCCCCACTGCCAGCATGGGACACGGCCACCCAAAACGAGTGTGAAGCCTTTCAGTGGGCTTTGGGTATTTCTGGAGGAGGTTTTTTACTCAGAAGGTGACACATTTATTGTGTGGCGCTGACAGGTCAGCCTGGCGCAGGACCTTTGTGTTACTCTGGGGGCTTTGGGTATTTCTGGAGGAGGTTTTTTTACTCAAAAGGTGAAACATTTGTTGTGTGGCGCTGCCAGGTCGGCCTGGCAGCAGGACCTTTGTGTTACTCTGGAGAAAGTTCTCCACAGTTCTCTCAGTTCTCAGGTACCCTAGCACAAGAGAGACAAATATTTGCATATGAATAAATGCAGTTCTTACCTTATGGTGCTATATGTAAGGCTTTTTGTAGCTGAAATCTTCAAAGGGATATCCTGTTTCCATTGAATTTCTGTGAGATTTGGGCCTTTAACACCCTCAGGCTTCTTTTCATGGTCTAGTTAAGTTACTGTGAAGCTGAACCATTACTTAGACATGGTGACAAAGTAGTAGAAAATACTTTTCAACTCTTTTGGCTTAAGTTCTTAACTGCTAAACTTCCAATTTTAAAATAAGACATCTTCTAAGTTGACAGAAAAAAACCAAACCACGTTATAAGTAGTTGTGTAGGCGGTAAACGAAGATGTCGTGCAGTCTGTAAGCTTGAGTGGAAGGAACACATAAGCCTTCTGCTCTCCTTGTTACTGTCTCCTGAGCTGGTACTAGAGGACATCTGTGTTCTACTGCAAGTGAATGGGAAGCTTTTACAGAATATGGTTCAAACTCTATTTTTTCAGCTGTACCAGGCAGAGACACTATCTTGATTTTTTGCCACTCTTGTGCCGTCTACTCCTGCAGGGTGGCAGCAACGCAGAGGTTATCTGCATGTCTCCTCACGTTTTTGAGGACTTCAAACACTCTCTTTTGTAGTTGACACTTGCTTGTTTCTAAAACTACTTTTGCTTTTAAATCATTAGTTTTGTTGTTGATTTTATTTGCTCTTACACCAGCTGTGTTTAGTATTGTGCTGTCAAATGTTGGGATTTTTTAAAAGCTAGACAGCAGCCTAATTTTTTTTTTTTGAACTAGATTGATAAATCTTGACTTGGACTTCAAAGCTTTGGTGTCATCTTCAGAATACGTGTATTTTTTTGTTTTTCTTACTATTCTATCTTGTATTTGCAGGCCTTCCCAGATTCACCAGTCAGCCAGAATCTTCATCTGTCTATAAAGGAAACAGTGCAATCCTTAACTGTGAAGTCAACGTTGACCTTGCACCGTTTGTGAGGTGGGAGCAGGATCGCCAGCCCGTCTTCCTGGATGACCGGGTATTT